AGGCATTCAACTTTTAGAGATTAGCACCTTCATAAGCGCATTTGTATGGCGCGCGCTAACCCGGCAGCCGCTAAAAAACGGAACGACAAAAGGATTAAAGGGCCGCCGTTACTGAAAAGTCCTATCTTCCAAGCACGTTTTCCATCCTTTCAAATTTTAGAATCATCCTTATTCAAAAACCCGAGCCATCGGTAATGTTATGTTACTGCACGACCACGTTTTTCCGATTTTCGATTTCCGCGTTGCTGTAAAAGCAAAACTCAAATCGGTTTTGAAAACACTAATCTAAGGACAAAGGTTTCGTCGTAAGTCAGTCCCTTTTCGGGATGCGCCACGCGTTATACATCCTTAAGAAGTCGTAGTAACTTGTTGAATACGATGTGCTTATATTGAATTGCGTGGGCTTGCTGATATACAAGTCAGTGTTTCACCCTTCGGATGTTGGAAGGTTTGGTTGACCAAGGCGGGAGCCGTCCAGGATTTGATTCCCGGGCATTGCGTGTGCTAGGCGTGAAACTTCCCACTGCACTACCTCCGTCTCGAACCAATATTAGTGCCAAATTACAGTAGCAATGTAGAATACAAACATACATAAGTACAGTATATGAATGTATAGCTATATATGAATATAATATGAATATGTATGTATATGAATACACCACTTTCATGCATAGTACACTTGAATCCCCGCCCCCTTGACTCCGCTCACAGATTGATGGATTTGTCTAATATTTCGCCACTTTGCAGCTTTGTTCTCGGACATCTGATTTCATGGTCTTTCTATAGATATAATCTAAAAAAAGAGGCAATTTCAATAATATCCACGTTAGGCCCGCCCCGTCAGCCACGCCGAAGCGCTCGATATTTATAGTGCCCTTGTGCGACGCGCCATGCATACTGCTCCATTCAGAATAGTTGTAGATTCCCAATAGTTCTGAGCTATACAACGACTTGCAAGGCCAGTTGGTGTGCGAAACGCCATTTTTATCCTTCCAGATGACTCCGTTACGGATCCGGAGAGGCAGAAGGTTCGCATAGACGGGGCGATCCAAGATTTGACCACGGTCTGGGTGGTACGGTCTTGCTGCAGAGGGTGCTGTGCTTAGGGCGGCAGCCCCTTCTCCACCAAGTGTTCCCGCTTGTTCAGTTCAACGATTAGTGAAGTACACTTGTTGGCGCCGTTCCATATCGAGCCCTCGGGACACGCCCCAGCATCCGCAGAGAACAAGACTGTAAGCAGCATCACCTGTCACTATACCAGATTCATCCGAGTCCTTACAAATCATTCAACTAGTAAATCGAATGGCGTGATTGCTACCTCTGGACCTCAGGCAGCCACCTCGAACCACAATGCTATCATAAGAGCGCCGAGACCATGTGACTGCCTAGTGCCGGAATATTCTGTAGCCAAACGTCATAATTCCTTATCAAACTGCACAGCACGGCAGGCGGTTCCTTGACCGGAACATAAGCGTTGAAAAACACTCAATAAACTGAGTTGAACCTCGAAAACAGGTTGATCATATATTTATGTAGGCAACTGCAAAGACATATCGCCGTTTCTCTGGGTTATCCTAGAAATAAGTAGAGATTTCGAAGAGAATTCAATTTTTTCCAGGAAAGCATGTTCACCTTTCAAAGATACGATCTGCGGATGGTGTGGAGCGCAGAACGCAGCCAAGAATTCGGATTTCTAGTATGATTTTCGAACTTTCTGTGCTGTTAATTACTTAAGTTGAGCTGTCAAGCCATACTTTGACTAGTTTTTCAACTAACCCGATTTCAGCAGAAGGTGCCACTGGAAGCGCCCCTTCGAGTCCCTAGATGCTAAGAGACACGAAAAGGATTTCCGAAAGAGGGTAATGGATTCGATATTGAAGGAAGAAGATAAGAAGACTAGCGAGGAGGTTAGCAACGGTTTTCAGTTCAGTATTATTACTATTACTATTACTACTACTCGTAAATTCATAAAAGGCGTCTCGTATTAGCTTGAGGATAATGTAAGCTCCTTATCTCTGAGGCGGAGTAGGCGTGGCATCTGACCATGGCGTAGAATGGAATCATTCGTGAGATAGTTCAGTTTGGGATAAGTGTCATCTTGTTATGTGTTGGACGGAGACACCACCACAATAGTGTAAAAATGAGACTATCCCACCAAGAGTGGAGCCGCCCCACATCGTAATGAAATACGCGGCCACGCCTACCACATCCCAGCGATTTGGTGCATATGCTGTTAAGCGGTCCGGGTATCAGATCTCGGTTCAGCTCCCACCTACGATATTCAAGCTTTCCATGACCTGAGGTCGATTGGTACCATACTCCAGTGGGAAGTGAAAACACTGACCTGTGCATTGGCTGGCCCTCTCATTGTGCAGGCCATATCGCATTTGATAGCCCACTAAGATACTGGATTCAAGTAGAATGCGAGCGATGTCCCAGAAAAGATTTGTCAGCGACAACTACTGTATCGCTCCAAGGCAGCGTTCAGACCTCGCGAACGCAGCTCTTCAGTCGCGCGTTCGACGCAATCGATGCGCATGCTTTCTACGGCACACCGAACGCGCGACCGAAGCCTGTTGTCGCGAAGTCTGAACGCTGCTTGAGCTGGACTGATATACGACCACCTACTTTCAGGTCATTGATGCTGATGAGCTTCCAGATCGTCGTCGTCTTCCACCTCTTCCCACTGATGATTACGACGACGATGAGGTTTTGAATTTTTTCTCAACCCTATTCTGTGAATCGCTATAGTTCCCTGTCACACCCCTCTGTTTAGCACTTGTCATTTTATAGTTTTATAATCATCAGGGTTCCCGATAGCGCTGACCAAGCAGGTACAGTCCTCATCATTGCGGACCGGTGGGGCGTGCCAGCCAGAAGGAGTGCGCACACTGTTGAAGCCGTTCTCAGCCTTTTTTGTTGCAACGCGTATGCGACAAAAAGTGGTAGAAAACGAGTAATACGAAGGATATAATACAGTAATGCACTTGCCCGCTTCAAAAACTGGTGCAGAACGATTTTGCCAAACCGCACCAAAGCAGCCGCACTGCCACGCCCCACCGGTCCGCAATGATGAGGACTGTACATAACATTGCTCACTATTACGCTGCCATGGAACTTAGCCAGGATCTAAATGTAGAGCAAAGAAAATTCAAAAATATATTCCAGTATGATTCAATGAGTAGAAACATGCCTTAAGGGTTCCCCTCATCAGATCTGTAGAAACTCACTGTCGAGATGCTTTACGGGACTGAGTGGACTGGGTCACTTGCAGATTCTCGAGCTCCTCAGCTATCAGGAATGGGTAGAAGCGCACCCTGATCCCAGATCGCTAAAACAACAGGGTTTTAGGTTGAAGAGTTCCCATCGACATTTCTTCGTGAAACGGTGGGTTGGGAGCGGTGAGGTGGTGCAGGGTAAGGGGAGTGGGGGGGGGGGGAAGTGAGGGAAGCGGCGTATTAGAGGGTAGTTCTCCCCAATTTCTCACTATTACGTGCCCCCAGGCGTGTAACCAAATTTGTTCAAATTGTTTTATAACTCATTGCTGCAATTTTTTTTGGTAAGCTAGCTGGATCTAAAATTGAGGGGACCAATGCTTCAACAATCTTGAGGCACTGTAGTTCTGAAATCAGGTGGAGTTTTTGTAATGATTAAGCCCTTTCATTATCATCTGTCGACGCTACCGGTCACTGTCGATAAGCGATAACGTCCGAGATGACAACTAATAAAAATTAAAGACCTTGGCCCAGCGCTACTTTACAGCTACTTACAGGGAAATCGACAAGTGGTGTAGCATGACTTATTCGGAAGGAAAGGTTGGAGGGCCGTTTCGAGACTTTCTGGGCAGAGAAGGGCGTCCTACGCGAAAATCGTTCTCCGTTTCAGGCAGTCAAGTACATCGAAATCCACGTAAATTTAGTAGCCTGGGCATATCATGGTGACTGAGAACCCAGTCCCAAAAATTTCTTCGTTCCAAGAGTCCGAACATCACTCATTTCTTTATCACATTATTCTTACCTCCTTATCTCCAATTCCCCGAAAGAACCACGTGAGCTCAGGCGCTCCCAGTACTAAATCACTTTCTGCATTAATACGGACCTTTCTGCAAGCTAGCAGCAAGCTGTATACGAAACACCGTTCTCAACCAGGCATAACATCCATAGCACATCACAAGATGGTATTTTAGTCGAGTCCGTGCGACCCCCCCCCCACTAAAGGTGGCTCGATACGACCCCCTAGTTCCCACCTCTGACGCCAGGAAAATACGATCCCCCCTGTTCTACCTACCACTTTCTTAGGTTTTCCACCTTCCTACCCACTTTTTCCGGAATTTTGCTGTCAAGCTGTCGAGCGGGTCGGGTCGGAGCGGGGAAGGGGTGGAGGGGGATGAAGATATATAGCACATGTGAAACAGAGAAAAGCGCGAAAAGTCAACAACCAGGAGACATTTCTCTCAGAAGGCAGATATGACCCCTCCCTTCTGCCAACAACGAGCAGCTACGACCTCCACCCTTATAGCGCCCGTGAAACAAGAAAAATCAACTAGCAGAAAAAAATTTCTACGACTGTTCCTGCTGAGGAATCCTCGATGATGATGATGTGCCTAACACATCCGTTATAAAAAACAGGTTACGTTGTAGAGGGCGGAGGAGCGGCCGTATTCTCCTATGGAAAACTTTTTTCTGATTGTTGATTGGTCCCGCGCTGTACGCGTTCTTACCCCTGCCCTCAGTTGGAGACGCAGCTGGACCACTATTTCTGTAGTTGGTCGGAAGTGCATACCTCCACTTCCCTCAAAGGCACATTGTTTGAAAAAATTGGTAAAAGGGAAGGTAAGATGCAAAAAGATGTCGTACAAAGGGAACAGCCCCGAAAGGGCCGCACTCATACAACATTTTACTCAGTAATGGTGTTATCATTTAATGATGTAAGATTTTCAGTATGCGGACGAGGAGGACGTAAAATACGAAGTGCCATCGTCAGAGGAGGAACTGCAAGGAATGGTTTGTTCGAGTTCATCCTTACTGATGAACATTCTATGATTTTGGTTCTACAACAGACCCGAGGCTATAGGTCACCCCGTGGGTGAGCTTGATGGCTAGTTCAATCGCAGTTACCCTCCTGATAACTCTGGCGACAAGACAGTAAATGCTGTTCTGAATTATGAGAAGGTTGCTTCAATAATAGACGAGCTGTCAGTGAAATCTTGAGCAAACCAAGACGTAGGAAAAAAGATCAAAAAGAAAGAAGGGCGCTGACAAAAAGACAACAACACTATTTACCCACTGCTCACTGGCCCATTTTTCTCTAGCGGCAAACTTGGTTCAAGCCTTGCACCTGGCGATATTTTGAACCCAAATATCGCTCTCCCTTGGCTCGGAACAACCTTGAGCTCTTACTGCGTGAATCTGCGCAAAATACCTCGACCTGTCAGGTGTTCCATGAGCCAGAATATCCCCAGAAACGACCAAGTGAACATATTTCGAAGAGCGGGGCAGTAGAGGATAGTTGGCGACGCATTGCTGCCATCTATTTTGTTCAAACTTTTCTTATTGATCTTACCTTCCAGTGGACTTCTGCCTCGTAATCTCGCAGTGAATTCGACTTTTCTCTTCTTGTTCAGTAGATGAAGCTTGTGCAACAAACATGTTCACATTGTCTAGCTAGGAAAGCAGCTCTCTTCGAATGACGGCCACTAGAATCCACTTTTTTCTGATTTTTCGTCATTTTCTCCTCATAGGGGATGTGGACTGTCAAACGTTACATAGCTTAGGCTCCAGTTTTAGCCACTGCGGTGGTTGGAGATGTTGTCAGACCCCCGCTTCTGTCTAGGACTGATAAGACTCTTTTGAGCAATGAAGTAGCAAACAGACATCGTAATATAATATTTAGGAAGTCGTAGACAGTATTGTGGTCCACCCCATGAACGATCAGTATGATGACGAGGAAGAGAAGCAAGAGAAGAAACCGAAGGTTACATTACTATAGTGTATGAAAATGCAGTTATTTCTCTTTCTGTGGTGTAAGGCGCATTCAGTTTTGTTCGCTGCGTATGATGGGGTGTGTTATGTTGAATGGGGTGGCGCTGCGAAAGTCCGTTTCTTTACTTTTTTTTCGGCGAATGCAGGCTGGCGGCTCGCCAAACCCAGCATCACTGACGCATCCCTTCATCCGTTGCGAACAGGACTATATCAGCGTGTTCGCGAAGGTGCACCCGACAACGTGGAGAAACGCTTCTGAATACAGCAACGGCCTTCTCAGTCTTTTTTGCAGCTGATTTTCTAACAGATTTCCAAACAACTCTTGTTCTGTATATATAACTTCCAAGGATGGATAAGTTCAAAGCGAACCTATGCCCTTAAACGGGCACGCCTTATACCTAGAAATTTGGGTATACGTGCAATCAAATGCTTGATATTAAATGCTTGATGAATTGCAACATGTTACTCATTTTTCTTAGAAGCACGACTTCGCGCCGATTTCTGGTGATGAGTTCCTTCGACGGGATGACACATCTCAATACGATGACAAAGTAAGAGAAAGTTCATGTTTTCCAGCTCTTTGATGCTTCTTTCTTGTCTACTACAGCGATTTTTTTTTCTAGCGCTGTAGCAGACAAGAGACGACAGACATTCCTTAGCTCTTATCTAATGACCTCGGAGTTCTTGGCTGGACTTCCTTATTACAAATAATAAGTAATAAGAATAATAGTAATAATAATAATACGAAAAAATAATAATAAGTAATAAGAATGCCCGCATAGATAAGAAACGCGTAGCTCAGCTCGTTCCTGAACATCCAGAAATGCCGGTAGAAATCACAGAATTCTTCGCCTAGGGGGGGGGGCATTTTGCTTTTTTCTCACGTCTCGCATGACCCTTAATTGTGATCGGGTTCCTAGAGATCACGCCACATATGTTTCTCTCTTTCACATTCTCTTCATGGTACCGAAGCAAGAACACTCTGGATGGGTACAATTATAGGAAACATTTCAGGAAGAGAATGAGTCCGAAGACGCAGATGTAAAACCCCTGGAAGTTAACGAAGAGAAACTCGACGAAGACGAGGAAGTAAGAATGATTTTTTGGCCCGTTTCCGGTCCACAACTTCTACACAATAGAAAACCCTTTTCCAGGATTCAGGCGAGCTGCTCAAGGATTCCGATGGTCGCGTGAACATTGTGGCCATTGCCATACGAAACAAAGAGTAAGTTGCGACTACAGCTGCTTTCACTAATGAGAGCAATCTAGCGAAGAGAGAGCGCCATCTGTGCATGTAGTCTTGTTCGCTATGGATGTTGGGGCGTGTCGGGATGGCTGGGTTTGGCGCGGCGTCAGCCTGTTCTCCGCCAAATGTTGAAGCGAACAAGCGACAACGACTGGTGGAAATTGTGCTGGAGCCGTGCCAAATCCTCCCCACCCCTGACCACCCTAGAATCCGTAGCTGTAAATGATAGTGGACCTCCCGTAGCACTCAACCACGGGCCTCTGATAATAACAGAGATCACTGGTTAGAAGTAGTGAACATACGCACTTTTCGATCAATAATGTCCACTTAAATCAAAAATAAGTCTATTCAGGAAAAGCCAAACAGAGGACGATGACGAGCCAGACTCCAGTTACGCACTCAATTGTCACTTTGTGCGTTCAATTGTTATTTATGAAAAATTTATCAAACATATTCAGACCCCCACTTGTCGTTCTCGCATCGGCTTATGCACCTTATAAAAGAACTTGTAAAGCTGCCGGTTCAAGAATGGCCCTGGGAATCCATGACTATGGAATAATAGTTCAAAAAACATTTCATTTCAAAATTCCAACAACAACGGGGCAATGGTCAAAAATGACTTTAGTACCAGAAAAAGGCTATGTAAAGTGCGGATATAAATAAAGCCGTGGAGGAAAGGTGAATCCAGGACTTGGGACGAAAACCATAGCATAGTTTACGAAAGGGTATGGGTTAAGCAGAAAATGTGTTGCAGAGACCTAGAAAATAATATATGGAAAGTAAGACTTGGGGAATTCGAATTGCAAAGCAGAGAAAGCGCCATAGGCCATTCTACAGGGGCAGTCTGCAAATTTCCGTAGTGTTACGGTAGCGTACAATTTTCGAACGGGAACTCGTAAAGATCGGGCCAGTGGACCACTGTGGACCAGCTTTAATTTGAACTTTTCACTCATATTGGTGGTCGCGCGCCCCGAAGCCTCCTCCTCTTCAAGAACTATAGGGCTAATGCCGTTTGGACTCCAGAAATTTCGTCTTCGAGCTCATTTTAAAAGTGGCAAGATCACCAAATCCGCTAAAAACTTGTATATAGGGGTAATTCAACATCCTGATCACGAATATGACATTCATTTTTGGCGCTGGCGCTAATGGATGACACTACGTTACCTGCGCTCTGCTAAGGCTGAGCCCAGGAGGTAATCGTAGTGTCCTCTCTTGGCGCCAGCGCCAAGAATGAGTGTCATACTCGTAATCAGGATGTTGAATTACCCCTATATACAAGTTTTTAGTGGATTTGGTGACTTAGGCAATTTGAAAATGAGCTCGAAGACGAAATTTCTGGAGTCCAAACGGCATTAACCGAACTACAGGCTTCTGTGACACTACGGAATATTACAGACTGGCAAAACAGCGCCACAGAGCGTCTCGCACATACTATGTACGTAATAAGAAATGCCTTCTAGAATTAATTCGTAGGATCCTGTTTATACATTGCTGACTTGCTTTCCAAGTCTTGGTCAACAAAATGGAGGTGATTAAAACAGATTTGTGGTCAACACAGGCTTCTGGGCAGCAAATTCGTAAATCGAAAACCGGAACCTCACTCAAAGGCTGTAGACAACTGCAAAGCTCTGCATTCATTTTGATCAAAAAATAAAAGTTGTGTAGTCGATTAATGACCATGGGAACCAAAAATACCTGCTGAACTTCGGAAGTCGGAACTCGGAAGGCACTGGGCCGTTTCCACGTTCGTGCAGCGGGGTTTCTTTATGTGAAATTATCACAAGGATTTCAACAGAAGCGGTTTTCAGATTGGAGTTCTACTTTATATGGTCTGCTTTGTACTCCTCCTGGGCGCTGTCCTCAAACGGTATGTTGCTTCTCTTGCATGATTTTTTATTCTAATGTTATATGCGACTGTTAGTGCTATTGTTCTTATTAAAACTTTGAAAAAAACTTGAAACCGACATTCATTGGAACAACGCATTTCAGATGCTTCAAATCCAACACTCACATTCCTGTCATGAATTTCTCCGACGAGCAATGTGCAAGTGAGATCTCAAAGACCTTTTTTACAAACAAGTTACTACTGAATTCATCAACGAGTTACTAAGTGAGGGATTCGAAGGTTTGCCTCAGGAAATTTGACCACAAAGAGCAGTACCGCAACAAAAAGTTGTTGAAAGAGGGTTGTCTTGGCTGCTTCTTCTTTCTCCGTCTTTCCAAACTTCTCCTTGGCTCGAATCTAACATTGCGAAAAGCGAACAATGCTGGAAAAAACCGCAGGTTGGGGACTGGAAAGGGCGCTTCGCTAGTACCGAAGGAGGGTCGCCCCGCCACAAAAATTTCAGCATGTTTCCTGAGCTGTGAACCCTCACGCCAAATTCGGAGAAGGTTTCTGCGCTCTTAGTATAGCTGTCAATCGCGTAACTTTCCTCGAACTTAAACTCTTCTTCCCTTTCCCCTCTTCCGTGTTTCCTCCCTTCAAATGCTCGGTCAGAAGAGGTGATGAGCAAATACCCCTGGACCTTCGCAACGAGAGAACATACGGTTGACAGGAACCCTCTAACCAGACTTCAAGACAAAACAATGCATCTTAGCACCACCAGGAGAAGCGCGTGCTCTAGTGGTACATCTCGAATCTTTCAGGGAGGGCAACGTACTCATCTCTTGCTAAAGAGCGATAGCTACACAATGCTTCAATTGAGGCACTTGACCCAAAATATATCTCACCATCACTAGCCCGTATTTGAAAGCAAAATTTGCATATGGGAAGAAGAAACCAATTGACTTAGCGCTTTAGGACCAATCAAGACCACTGGCAGGGTACCTCAGAGAGCACACGGGTAATATTTACTTCTAGGACACTTGCTGCGCTTAATTCGCCTTCAAGCAGTAGGTGAAAGGGATATGCCAAAGTTTTGACTCTGATCCAAAATTCGAGAGGTCAGTCTCAAACTCCTTGATGCCAGCGAGCTAATTTCATACAAGCTCTAGGATTCAATCCTATGACCGTAGAAGGGGCCACCGCTCCGCCCGCTGGCCACTCAAGGCCCATCTTTCATTTCTGAGGTATCCTGGCGGTGCGATTGTTCCGCTGATACCTCTCCATTTCAAGTGACGTAATGAGGCGGAAGAGCTAACATCAGCAAGTTGGAACTTGTTCAAACACTCCATTTCTTCGCCTTGTGCACGTGCGAAAGGGTTCTATATGGGCACCTTCGGTGGGGTCGCTCGACTCACCATTTTTGAACGCGGGCGTGCCTCTGAGAAAAGGCCATTTTTCCTGTCGTCTCACACCTTGCACAAATTATACAATAAGCCTGTCGAGAATTAGGAGAGCGAGGAAGGGAGAGGGTAATTACCATACAAGTGTAGGAGGAAGGTGATTAAAATGCAAGTGTGGAGTACTCTTTAGATATGTATGTTATGATCCCTAATTACGATTCTAGGAGATCTCCTCTGGTGGAACTTCCTTCTATTTGGAAGTGATCCTTATCTTCGAAACTCGCACGTTTTCCTATACACGGCGGTTGCCAACGCTGAAATGGCTGCTCTCCATTTCAGGAGGCACAAGCACAGTTCCTTAACTTCTCATTAGCTCCTAAATTTCTCTAAAATTCTCTAAAATAATAAAATTTTAAAGAAGCGCGCCAAACATTTTCTACGGGATTCCGAACCCTTGGACTTCAAAATTCATCCGAGCAAATGTGGGCCGAATGCAGACGAATTCTCTGTAGCTTACTTTTTTCCCCACTTGAGACCATTTGCTAAAGGGATGCTGGCTGCATGAACTTTTTACCGTGGTCCTGCCGCGAACGTAGAGAGAGAAGAGAGATAAAGGTCGGAGGATACCATGGCGTCAAATGTGTGAACAAGGGATGGATGTTTCATTGAGCAGGCACAAAGTGAGTGAACCACTCATCATTTGTAGAAAATTAGATCGTCGTAGTTGTCGCAATGCGCTATAAAGAGAAGAGAGCGCAGACGATACCAGTAATATAATACTTAAATACTGAACTTATGACGGAACTGAGGCAGTCTGTAGATCTATCAGTCGTGTAGATGGACTCACTGGGGCCATTGTGCGTTCCTCATCGATGCGCTCCCTCTGTTCGCCATATTAGAGAGAGGGCTCAGCACTTAAAAGGGCGTACCTGTCTAAGTGAAGAAGGCGTGCTGGTCTCATTGATTCTGCCCATACGATCAGCCCGGAACAGGGTACTACATCGGGATAGGAGAAATGGGGGATTAGACGACCACCCTCCCCAATTTTTTTTATTCGGTACGCCTCCCCCCTCATCTTCCTACCTATGATCTCTCTTCTTGATCTTAAATTTTCCCAGCTTCTTCCCCTTCACTGTTTTCCGGAAGTTCCAGAAAAATTCCAGCTTTCTAAAGAGCTGCTTACGAGCGGGGAATACAAATCTTTAGAAAGGGAAAATTTCCGAAAAGTGGTTAGTCGGAAAAAATTTCCTTTCACGGCTCCCCGGTGGAATTTTCCCAGCGATGCTCTACCCTGGCACGAAATCTGCTCTCGGGAGTAACACTTTTTTATTAACACTTTAGGCAGATTTCAGACTTGTAGCGCTACAGCGTCGCGGCTACCGCTACCGTACCACTCACTTTATAGTTTTTTCTTTCCTGTATTCTAAACCGTCTTCTCGTTGATTCTCATATTCATCTCGATAGTGAGCTCCTGTTTTCATACTTTATCTGATACGCTGGATGCCCAAAAACAATTTCGTCATAGTCACCTGCACGGCAACCACTGAAACAAAGACATCAAGGCTGAAAAAGTTCACTCAAACGTCAGTAGCAAACTCTGAAACAAAAATAATTAAAGTCAAAAACGATAAGTAAAACCAATTACCACAGTCACAATTACTTACTGTATCAAAAACTACATTAAAATGTGATAAAGTAGAAAACAGGAGCTCACTATCAGATAAATATGAGAAACAAAGAGAAGAGGGTTGAATACAGAAAGAAAAAACATAAAAGCTGGAGTTCGGTACAACTGTAGCGCTACAGCTGTAGCGCGACGCTGTACAAGTCTGAACGCTGCCTTATTTTCGAATTCACTTCAACTGAACTATATCCTAGTGATGCACCGTTGCGCTCATCATATTGCCAAGGACAAGGACAAGGCCATCTATGACAACGACGTCGCTTACGTTTAAGCTTTCATCAGATATTTCTTTGCTTCGTTCACTTATATGCTGTATTTGTAATGATATTGCAAAGCTGTATCACGTTTCATTCTATGCTCAGCCCACACTATACCCTCTACCTATTGCACATTATTTCGCGCACTCTCTTTGTTTGCACTCTGCCCTATAGAATGAGCAGGTGACAAAAGGCACGAAAACGACTGTACTATTTCCGGTAATTGTTCGTTCGCTTCATCTACGTCTTCTATAAATATTTATTCGATTCTCAACGGTTTGAGGAAGAAAATGCATACACAACGAAAAACACAACAGAGCGGTGACAAGCATGGTTCAATATGACAACACCTCAGAAAAAATGAGGCAAATATGATGAAAAATACTCCTAAAAAAAGAGCAAATGTACTTTACAAGATTCAACGAGGCACCTCGTGTATGGAGCATGGAAGAGAATTTTCAGTAAAAAAATGCATAGAAATTCTGTCAACGAAAATCAAAAATGAATGAAAATGAAATGCTAGAAATGTATGCGAATGCACGGCGGCGATTTTGGTCACCTAAACCCGAATGCGATAGCAGTGACACGCGCGCGCGTGCGTGCGTGCGTGTAATGGCCGCGACAGCGGTCGCGAGCGTGGGTCGTCACGATTCAGGGAATGAATAGTGAGAGAATGGACGACATTATAAATGAAATAGAAGGAGAAGCATTAGTGTGATGAACGGCTCAATGCTACTATCTACACTCGAGATCAAGCCTTCGTACGCCTGTGTGTATGTGCTTGTGCATGAAAAACGACTCACTAAGCAAGTAAGAGTAAGGTAAGTAACACATCGACGAGAGGGGCAACTGAGAACAAACATTCTAAGTGAATTTTACAAGCGAAACATACATACACGAAGCAAGTAGTAATGAGAATGATGAACATAAGACTAATAGGCTAACAAAATCCTGAATAGAACAGAAGCCGTAAAGGCACTGCATGGTCATGGATTTCGCGACAAAGATGAGCAGAAGTACGTTAGAACGTACTTCAGCGGCAGTGCTAGCATGGTGCCACACGTGGACATTGGACACAAGACAATTAGATCAATAGCATTTGATTCTACTCAACAGAAAAAAGTCAGACTTCAGACTGGACAGATGACGCATAAATATGCGGCGGTAGCGGACGAGGTGGTGGCTGTGAAGCGATGGCCAACGATGGCTGTACTGGTAGAAATGTTGGTGCCAGTTGGCTGGTTACAGGCAGTTCAGCATACTTCATACGATCGTGATAGCTGCCTGCGTTCTAAACACAAAGCAACATGAAAAGCTCTACTACTATTCACACTGAACGCCACGATGTCACTTCGACAGCTCGCTTCTGACAGCTTAGGCCGCGTTCATACTTTACGATTTATTCGCGCGTTTCTGTCCGACCGCACTCCATCTGTAATCTTCAGACCGCCACAACAACCAAAAACTATTCTGAATGTTATTTGTTCTTAACTGCAACGGTCCAACGATTAGCGATGGAGCACCGGATACAGTCTCGTGATTATCGCGTGGCTGAATCACATCGGTAACCCACGGACCGCTGCAACGGTCGAAAAAACTTCTTTCTGAATGTTGTGCTTTGCAGCTGAAACGGTCCAGGAGTTAGCGATGGAGCGCGGTCCGCCATTGTCTCATGATTTTGAAATCGCCCGGTCGAATCTCATAGCTAATCTCTGGATTATTGCAACAGTCGAAAGAATTTCTCTTCTAAATGTTATAGCTTTGCAGTTACAGCGGTCCAACAATTAGCAGTGGAGCGCGGTCTCCATTGCCGCGATTCTCAAATTGCTTGGCTGAATCGCTAACAATGAACGCAGCCTAGTACGTGCTAATAACATCGTGACGTGGTTAGAAGGTGAAAGGTGTGAGAGATAGTCTGATAGAGAGGCAAACCAAGGCTCACAT